ACAAATAACATACTGGCCACGTAAGTCAACATATAAAATAAAATCGTACATCCTGATCTTTAGTATTTTTGTGCTTTCTCTTACGGTTAGAATTACCGAAATCGAAATACCGAAATAATCATCAAGATAGCAAAAGGCAAAATTAAAAGAATGACATACGTGTGTCCGAAACATATAATATAAATAAAAATACAAGTGACACAGCAGCTTATAAAGGCTTATTGCTTTCCAATAAAATGAAAGTGCTATTAAAAAGTGATCTAGACTTATCTATGACTTATGTTGCCTTGGATATTCATATCGGTAATTATATCATACTTTTTCTATCGCATTATAATTCTTTTCTATACATATATCTTCGCAAATATATGAAATAATTTTAAAACATATGAAGCAATTTTAAATTCAGACAGTTTTAGTAGATTTTCAAATAAATATTTTCGTACATTTTACATATTTTAAATTTAAATTTGATTTTTTTTATCATATATATTATATCTTATACACTGTTAAAAATACTTATCCATTTCTTGTTTATTATTTAGAAGATAAATAAAAACGGAAAGAACACTTTTGCTGACAAATCTAAAAATTTGGCTAAATACAGATCTGAAAACAATTTTGTTGGGCCTTCAAAATTATTATATACAATGTACAAATTGATTGTTAGAAGATCAAATTTTTGCAGTATTTATTTTTACAATATTTTTGCAGTATTTTTGCAGTATTATCATCATATTTAAGTGTTCTACAAAATAATTTTGATGATTGTCAACAAAATTATTTTCAGATCTGTATCTGGTCAAATTTTTAGATTTGCCAGCAAAAATGTTCTTTCCGTGAAAAAACATTTCAATTTAACATTTGTATATCTTCTTTACAGTTGATTTATAAATAATATATAATAATATATAATAAGTGACATATAATATATTTTTAATTTATAATTTATAATATAATATAATATGTTTTATCCGTGACTTTTATAATACAATAATGTTTTATCCATAATTTCTTGATATATAAGTGATAACTCAGCTGATAATAAACCAAATTATAAACGATATAACTGCTTCATTAGAAATAAGACATGTTATTACAGGCAATTATGCCAATCCAAAGGAATTTCCAGGATTAGCACACTTATGTCAACAAGAGATAATTTTGGGAACCAAAAAATATCCTAATTGCAAGCAGTTTGAGAGTTTCATATTTAAACATGGCGGAGATATATCATTAACAACAACATCAGATCATACGACGTTCTTTTTCCAAATGAATAAAACAGATGATTCTATTTTTAAGGAAGCCATAGACCAATTTGTTCAATTTTTCATAAGGCCTCTCTGCTATTGGTTTAAGAAGACAATAAAAAAGATTAATGGAAACCAAAAAAAGGAATTATCAAGTTACTCGACTTGGTTTCAACATTTTGAAAGATCTACGGTCCAATCCACTCATCCCTATTCAAATAGTACTTTGTGCAACAGTGATATATTAAAACAAATGTCTCTAAGAAAGATCAGAAAAAATATATTAAACTTTGTGGAGAAATATTATTCCTCCAACCTTATGACACTCTACGTCGTTAGTGGTTGTAAGAGACAATTAATATACATATAATTAACAATAATAACATATATTAAAACTAATATTTTATTAGTTATAATATCGACTACACAATGTATAATAATTAAATAAAAATTTATATTTAGATCCATTGCATCTGCTTGAAAACATAATAGTAGAAGCATTTTGTCAGATACAAAACAGGAACATTAAATTTCCAATAGTTTATATAGATCCGTTTAAAAATTAC